TTTTTCCGTATGTAATGAGCGATAAAGATAGAATGACGCTTATAGTACCAGCTTAATTTACCGTTATTATACCAGCTTAATATACCGTTATTTATATACATCGTCGAGTTAGCCATTGGCTTGGTTTACATCGTGAACTTGATATGCGTACTAAATAGTAACTTTCTATTAGATAATCTTAATATCGACGATATATTAAGCTAAACAACGTATATTAAGCTGGTATAATACTCATTAAGAAAACGTATTGTATTTATTGAATGCGTCGTCGTTGATATGCATTGTCGATATTAAGATTATCTAATAGAAAGTTACTATTTAATACGCGTATCAAGTGCACGATGTAAACCAGGCCATTATCTAATAGAAAGTTACTATTTAGTACGCGTATCAAGTGCACGATGTAAACTAAGCCAATGGCTTGGTTTACATCGTGCACTTGATACGCGTATTAAATAGTAACTTTCTATTAGATAATCTTATAGCATGTTTGACTGGCTCTGGGTTAACCTACTCTGGGTTATTCAATCTGCGTTTATTGGTCGAACAAATACTTATGAGCTTTATGATTGGCTAGTAGAGACTTATGACGTCATTAATCGCTCTCGGAGCGATTAACCCAGAGCCAGTCGAACATGCTATTAATATCGACGATGTATATAAATAACGGTATATTAAGCTGGTATATTAAGCTGGTATTGATCAAGAAGACTTATTTTATCGATTGAATGCGTCGTCGTTGATATGCATTGTCAATATTAAGATTATTTAATAGAAAGTTACTATATAGTACGCGTATCAAATGCACGATGTAAACCAAGCCATTATTTCTCTTCCTTGTTCCTATTGGCTAATGCCTATTCCTATTGCCTGGTATCGTGTATAGAACATTAACCTATAAATATTATTGTATAAGTTGTACAATAATATATTATTAATTAATTTAGGTTAACTAAACTAAATTAATAATAATTATAGCACTAAGTTTTTATATATTATTAAGTATATAAGTATATATATTATTAAGTGTATATACGAAATGCCACGGTCGAAAATTTCCGATTTATTGGGTGTACTTAAGGGAGCCCAGAGTGTGGCGAATGCTATGGTAAAACATCAGGAAAATGCAATCAAATACAGAATCACGCATTCTAGTTTAAAGAATCTACCTAAGCAATGTATTCAAGCTACAGAAAAAAAATTGAATAACATAGAACCAAGTAAGATTTCTGTAAGTCTCAGTCATAGACTAAATAAAGTTCTATAATTTCACATATTTTCAATTAGAATGACTATATTTTACAGGAACAGATTGTTGAAAACTTAAAAGAAGTAGTGGAACGTGTTAGTATAGTTGAAGAAGGTATTAGCAAATATATAACGATAAATGTTAGTCAAATTTTGGGTATTAAAGATGCTGCTTGTGTTCCTGAAAAAAAAACAAAATTACATGTGTACAATGTTGCAAAAGATCCTAAGGAATTGCCAGTTACTGAAGATATCACAACACTTAAACATGATAACAGCAAACCTGTATTTCAAAAAGCTTTGAAAGACACACAAAATAATAATATGACATGGAAATATATGACAGTAAAGGAGAAGATTCAGACTATTACCACTTTGAATAATCAGATACCTGATATAGAATTGTCTAGTAAAGACAAAGAAATGTTCAGAAAATTAGAACTAGAACATGAGAAAAATATGAAAAGTAAGGCTGTAGATTCTGTTCCTTTATCTACTTATAAAGCACAGAAGAAGGAACATATATATACAGAAGTAGAGTCTGAGGAAAAATTGAAATCTAAATTACCGGTTAAGCCAAAGCAATCTGTAAATATTAAAATAATTTCTCATTTTTTATATCTGATGTTTGTTCTCATTTAATAGTGTGTATATTGCTGTTTAATCTTTATCATAGTTATCACCTACTGCTAGAGAGAGAAAAGTTCCATCTACACGATTACAAAGAATGGTAAGCTTTGGAACATTAGGGGTTGGTCTTGGTATTGGTACAGTCGCTGAATATACACGCAGGACACTAGGAATAAAAGAACAGAGTATTGGAGATACAGTTGACAACATGTTCCTTACTAAAGCAAATGCAGAACGAATTGTCTCAACATTGTGCAAAGTGAGAGGTAATAATACCTAATATAACTGAACCCAAATATCTGTACATGTAAGTAAATCATTTCTGATTTTGCAAAAAACAGGTGCAGCTTTAAAAATTGGCCAAATGTTGAGCATTCAAGACAATAATATCATAAGCCCTGAGTTACAGAGAGTATTTGAGAGAGTCAGGCAAAGCGCTGATTTTATGCCAGTCTGGCAAGTGGAGGTAAACGCTCTAGAATTATATAAATTAATTAACTCACGATTAACGTCATAATTAATGATCATTTCTAGAAAGTATTAGCAGGCGAACTTGGACATGACTGGAGAAATAAATTAGCGACTTTTGAGGCGAAACCATTCGCGGCAGCTTCCATCGGTATATGCTCTTTTATGTCCTGATATTTCCAATTGAGACTTATACTAGTCAATTGGTAGTAGTAGTTTATACTAATCAATTAATATATTTAATATATAGGACAAGTACATCACGGTACCTTGCACAATAAACAAGATGTAGCGATAAAGATTCAATATCCGGGTGTGGCTATGGGTATCCAGAGCGACATAGAGAATTTAGTGGGCATAATGAAGGTACAAAATGACGATATTTTATGCAATACAATGTTGTATATCGTATTAAATGTCATGTTACTTATAGGTGTGGAATATATTTCCAGAGGGTATGTTCATAGACAACGTAGTAGAAGTTGCGAAACGAGAACTCGCATGGGAAGTAGACTATATAAGAGAAGCAGAATGTACGAGGAAATATAGAGAATTTGTAGCACCTTATCCCGATTATTATGTGCCTATGGTAATAGGTATGTAATGAGACGAAGATTATACGGAGGTTTTGGTTTATACATATAGTCGGCAAATGAGTATTTACGAATTTTATAAAAAAAAAATGGGTAAATAACAGAGTTTTTAACATACTACTTATAATTGTTTCAAATATAAGATCATTATTTTTTTATTAAAACAAAAATTGAAATTTCGTCATTCAGATTTTTCGTACGTAGTGTTGATGAACATCTCTAACTGGTGAACAAGATTACAGCACGTGTAATAATTTAAAATAAATGAGATAAGAACATTTAAAAGTATTAGGATTGTTGGAGAATAAACCTAAATTTTATGGAAAATTTCTATAATTGGTTTTTCCAAGGCACTAAATAAAGAAGAAAGAGGAAAATTGAAACTTATAGCTTTAATGTACTACTAAATTTGTACTTTCTGTACGTGTAACATAGATTCATCTTACAGCAAATTTGATATAATTTTTAAATTTAAATTTTTAAATTTTCTTGTCCCATTTATTTCATACTATTACACAAGCTGTAATGTTGTTTATTAGTTAGACATCTGGCAACATGGCGTTCAGTACAACAAAATTGGACGAAATTTTAATCCTTTTTTTAATATTTTTTTTATATTTAAAACAATGATAAATAGTATGATCAAAATCTTATATTAATATCTTTATTTACTATTTTGAAAAACATTCTAAAAACTTCCTATTTTTTCAGCTACCTAAATTAAAATCTTCCTTTAAGGGATTAAAATCTTCACCGATAAAACATCGACTTTTTTCTGCAAAATTTATATTGTATTGAAATTACAAATGCTTGTATATTATAAAAATACGTACGAAAATGAATTAGAGCATTCAATATATAACAAAAATGATAAAAAATTTTAAAGTTGATAATTTGAATGTAAACTAATCTGCCATATGCTATCAATTAAAGTAAATATACAAAAAATCTGTAGCTTGAATGTACTGAACGCAAACTTGCTTCGCTAAAAAAAATTTCAAAGAACATTGCAGTATTTTTACATCTGAATTTAGAAACTGAAATATATCAGGAAAGTTTGCAGAAAAATTTTTATATATGGTTATATATATGGTTAGGTTTTTCGCTAAATATAGCAAAACAAAGCAATACATGCTTACGTAAAATTGATACGTACAAGAAATACGAAAAGGACAGCATGATTGTGTTAGTGACGATCGTTTCTACGTTATCGATATGTGTTGGAGTTCATCATCGACTTCAACATTTTCTTAAGAATGAAATCCTTATCAGACATTTTCTGCAAAATTCACGTCGTATTGGCTGTACAGAATTACAAATGTTTTACGCAATGAAAATACATACAAAAATAAATAGGAGCATTGCTCAATATGTGATGAAAACGAAAAAAATTATTAATGTAAAATCTCAAACTGTCAGTTAGTGTAATATTTAGCTAATTCAAAAGTTTTGTTGCTTGTATATATTGAAAATATAGTCTGGATGCTCCAGACAAAGAAATTTTAAAGAACATTGTTATACCTTTGTATCTGAATTCAGAAGTTTAAGAATATCAAAAAAGTTTGTAGAAAAATTTCTACACATATGTGATTAGGTTTTTAGCTGAATATGGTAAAACAAAGTGTTAATGACGATTATATCTACGTTATCGACATTTTTCGAGTGCGTATTGTATATACAGGGTTGGCAAAAAGTCCGGAAACGGTGAAATATCTCGAAAAGGATCAACTGTAGCGAAAAATATGTAAGTAGCAAAGTTGTAGGGCTTAATAAAATGTACCTAATGATGGCTAAAAATTTGACTTTGGGTGGAGGACGAAAGTCATACGAAGGTCAAATTAAATTTTTTAAATTGGATCCCACTTTTTATTACATATTCTTGTAGCTTATTTCAAGGGCTTTCCAAAAACCTATAATAAAGTATTTTTTTATTAGGCATATTTAGAATTATGAGGCTTGAAAGGAGTTTGGTCTTTAACTGTTTCTGTTTCATAAAAACGTATCATTGTCTTCTGAACGGTGGATTTAGAAATAAAATTGCAATCAAGATATGCAGCATTGAATGTGTAGATCAGTTATTTCTTCGTATGATCTAATATGGTCTCCAAATTTTCGATAAAGAAAAAGCATTATCTTTTCTTTATCGGTTAACATTTAAAAAAAAAATTTGAAATTGTAGTTGGAAAAAGAAAGGGAAAAGACAAAGAGTAAGATGCGAGAGAGTACGACTCGTTTTTAAAATACAAAGATCGAGAAGCGTTATCGTGAAGCGCGGGTATGCGCGAGTTTCAACTGAGTACGTGTGATATTACGTCGTGAATGAATAACCGCGTTCGATGCGAGTGAATGAACAACTAGGCTGGGAGCCTAAAAAACATAAACACAGGAGAAAAACAAGACTAACTTTGTTTTTCGTGTCTCGAGCTAGACGATATGACCGGCTTGGTTGTTCATTCGCTCTCATCGAACGCGGTTATTCATTCACGACGTAATATCACACGTACTCAGTTGAAACTCGCGCATACCCGCGCTTCACGATAACGCTTCTCGATCTTTGTATTTTAAAAACGAGTCGTACTCTCTCGCATCTTACTCTTTGTCTTTTCCCTTTCTTTTTCCAACTACAATTTCAAATTTTTTTTTTAAATGTTAACCGATAAAGAAAAGATAATGCTTTTTCTTTATCGAAAATTTGGAGACCATATTAGATCATACGAAGAAATAACTGATCTACACATTCAATGCTGCATATCTTGATTGCAATTTTATTTCTAAATCCACCGTTCAGAAGACAATGATACGTTTT